TCGGCGCCGAATTCCATGAGGAGGTCGATAGCGCCGATTCCGTTGGTCTGGAAGCATCCGAGTAGAGGGACTTCGCCGTAGCGGTTACGCTGATTAGGATCTGACCCAGATTCCAGAAGGACCCGAGCTATGTCGAGTTTTGCCATGTGGTTCATGGTTCCGTGGGATAGGGCGGTGCATCCAGTGATATCTGGAAGGTCTACAGGCGCGCCGCGAGATATGAGATATTTGAGGACGCCGATATGCTGGGGATTGGCTGTTTGCAAGCGTTGCGCGCCGGACAAGATGGTGAGATACCCAAACCTGTATGGCGTCTCTGTACCTTCGAGGGAGGGGGTGTCTCCAGATTCGACTTCATGAATTGACAGTCCAGTAACTGAGGAGACTTGATGGATGTGTCAAGCTCACCTTGACGACTCTGAGGTAGTCTCCCAGGTAGCAGCATAGTCCGAAATAAGTGAGCTTTTGAGGGTCAAAGGAGGTGGATATGTCGTTATAAAGTACTCGAAGAGTTTCGCCGCCCACTTCGAAGGATAGGTAGCCAGGCTGGTCCAGGATGTTGCGCATCTGTTTGGTTACTGAGAGTCCGCCGTTGCCGTCTCCTTGGTGGGTAGACATTGTCGGAGTGATGATAACATGAGATGGGGGCATCCTGAAGATGATTCTGCCATCAAAGCCTGTCAAGGCGAGTAGAATAGGTGAGAGACGGAAGCGTTATTTTCTTTGTCAGCTTTTCAAATTCGAACGACTCAGGCTCTCTGTAACACATCGAACGACGTCGACCCTCTTACCACTTCTAATTCACCCGTTATCTTGCTATACCCCTTTTTCGACATTACGCTCAGCAAATTACTTGATATCTTATCTTACTCACCGTATCCTTCCCGGTTCCCTCCATATTTGATTTCTCTACGAGTATATAAACCCTCCTTGTGTTAGATTAGACGACTTTTTCTCGAATCGAAGTGTCGCTTACCTGGTCTTTGCTTCGCTCGACTAGGGGTCCTCGCGTGACGAAACCGTGACGTGTCTCGCTTTCGTTACACTCTCCTTAACGTTGACTGCGTCGTTGTATTTAATATTCCTCAGTACGATGCCTCAGCAACTTTTGCATAAAGCAACTTTCTCTCTGGTCTGTCTTGATCCTAATTTTACAGTGCAGGAACTGGTGTCATCACTTAGCAGTGTTGGCGAAGCAGCTGGAGTCAGGATTACATGCGCCAAAGACAGGATCGAAAGTCTCTTGGGGAGCATTATCAATTTAACTAAGAATGCAAAATGTTGCCCCTCACCCCATCTTCTGTGTCCTTTACTTCAAAGCAGACATTTTTTCAAGTCACAACACACATCGTAAACATAGTCGAAACACATGCCAAGGTATTCTGTCGATTGGATTATGCTGCGAATGTTGCAAGGGTAAGCTCTCCGTTTACTCTTCATAATTTGTGTCCAACGTATTGTCCAGATTTGGCCTCGTAGCGACTATTGACTAGACCATCGAGGACTCGGACTGCGACAAGATACATACGACCAGTATTTGCGACTGTGACGGGACTTTGCATGCGAGACGAGATCCAGACGATGCTAGAGAATGACTGCTTGGGCCTTCCCAAAGGTCGTGAGTACGGCCCCGAACTCTTCTAACTTAATTTATTAGAATATCGAAGATAATCGAACACACGACAAGTAGATGCTCAGGCTGACACCTTCAGATGATAGGGTCGCTCAGATAATGTGCTGAAACAAAATCGTGCCCAGGGCAGTGAAGGCACGACGCCGTTTCATTTCCGACCTTTTACCAGTGCGTTTCGTTGTATCAGTTCAGAATGTGAGCATCACGCAATTGCTTTCAAACTACAGTGCCTGAGAACTTGCAGTTCACCGTTCAGTTCCATCAAGGTCCCCATAGTACTTTGGCTGATTCCGTTCCACTACAAGACGATGAATCCGAACATCATTTCCTCCCTTTCTTCAGTTAGGCTTGATTCGAGCCTGGCTTTCTTGCACTGCTATTATTGCTATTGCGCCTTGGAAGCGCGATGCACTGTCTACAACGCGTTCTCACCCCCGCTCGCCAACGAGCGTTTTTCTACCCACCATCTCGTCTTTTACACTCAGGCACATGCTGAAGGAGCTTAAGTGACCGCGATAGAGGCAGAGGACTGACCAACTTCCCCGCCAACGATAATCGACCGGCAGTGCAAGTTAAGAGAATAACCAATCAAGGCATTCAGCTGGTCGACTTCGGCATGCATTTTCTAGAAGGATAGGTGTTTCCATGGGATGTGCCAAAGACTTTGTGGCAGGGATAGAGGAAGGAACACCTGGAAAATTTTGACCTTGTTTCGCCCAGACCCTGTTCTTTTTTGGTCTTGTTCTCTAGATTATGTCCTAATATTTAGTAGAAATATTACTTCTCGGGACAGGTACGCGATTAGTGCAACCACCGCTATTCATTCAGACATACATAAGCCAATTGG